GGACAATCGCGGCTGCTGCAACAGTGAGCCTTTTGCGTTCACCAAGTGCACACTGAGTGCAGCTCATCTTGCTCCCCTCCCTCATCCCCCCTTTTCCCTCCATCATCCCCAACTGCCTGGCTTGTCCCTGCAGACCTCACTAGGGCCAGCCCCCAGCCCCAGTCTGAGCTCAGCCTGGCATCCCATCAGAACGGGAGATAAATGTCACCCAGAGGCACAAGGAAAGCTGCTGATGGAAATGTGCAACCTGCATCACAAGATGACAATATTTCACCTTATCAGCACTAAGGGCCTTGATAACCCATAGTTATTGCTGCTGCCTCGTGCCAGCCTGCAGCATCCCGCAGCCTCTCCGGGGACAGTGACAGTGGTTGTCCTTCTCTCAACAGATCCCAGGGAAAGGCACACGGGGACTGAAGCCACTGAGGGGATGATGGCTGGGACGGAGTGGGCTTGTGTGCATCCAGCCTCCAGCTCATCCAGCCTCCAGCTCATCCAGCCTCCAGCTCATCCAGCCTCCAGCCCCCACGGCTACGAGGGTCAGCACTCCTGAGGGTAGCTCAGCCCCTTGCTAGGGCCACAAGAGCCCCCTCCCCGCACCCACCTTGATGATGTCTTCGTTGTTGGACTTGCACTCAACCATAGCAGAGACATCCATGATGACACCGCTCAGCTCAATGGCGATGACCTTCACGGGAATGGCCACTGTCCGTCCCGTCAGGATGGCCGTATTGATGATTTCTGTGTCCTGAAAACAGGGCGCAAAGGGGACCATCACATTAGAGGACAGCCTGTCCCCTCCTCTCCTGCTCCAGCCCTGGGGCAGAAATGACCTGTGGGTGGGTGGGATGCATAGGTGCTATGGGGCAGATGGGCTGGTCGGAGACCCAACCCATCCCCAACGTCAAAGCAGATAAGCTAAGCAGAGGGCAGGAACCTGCTCACCATGGCCAGGGGCACAATGGCCCGGATGTCCCTCTGGATGACCGTCAGCTCCGTCACCACCTTCTCCAGGTCCGGCGGTGGGTTGCGGCCCCGGTAGTCAATGTGCCACATGATGCGGCGCGTCACCGACTGGCTGGTGAAGTTCTCCATCTCAAAATCCAGCTGCATGATCTCAGAGGAGGAGTCCCCGTCCCTGGGCAGGGGGACAGGAGGGGGACGCGGTGAGCTGGGTGCCCCAGGTCCTGCAGACAGCTCAGAATCAGTGCTGGGCGGTCCCCTCTAGTGATGCAGAGCATCCCCTGTGGTCTTTTCTCAGTGTCCCCATGCCTGCTGGGGGGACCGTGCTGTGGGTACCACCACAATGCTTATTCCCAAACACAGCAGTCCTGATCCCCCGCTCTGCCAGGGGCTGCTCCAATGAGACTTCCCATGGGAATCTTCCCAGTGGGAGAGAGAAACACATTTCACTGCCTCTCCCCAGTGGGGAAAAACCTCAGCAGCTCAAGCAGATGCTCTCCAAAGGCTGCTGGGTGATATATTATCACAGGGTGAGTGTGTGGCCACGGCCCCGGGCAATGGTGGGCAGCTGCAGGCATTGCCCTTGTCTCCCCAGCTCGATCTTCCCAGCAACATAGCCAGATTTACCACCCCAGGCTGCTCCCACCTGCACGCTCATCTCCTGCAGGTCAAACCCCAAGTGTCCCACACCCAGGAGGGCAGGGTGCTCAGGGACAGCAAATAAGTCCCTGTATCAGTCCAGCCCAAGCCATTGACTTTACAGCCCCTTCCATGGGGACCACACAGGGAAACTGAAGCATGGGAGAAAGAGGTTCAACTGCAGACAGCAGATGGGACAACACTGAGCTGAGACTCAAGGCAGGCCTGTCCCCCAGCCTGCACGGGCAGCCATGGGGGTGCACAGGCAGGGGATGGGGGAGGTGGACAGGACCAGCAGGGGCGGATGGCCCCGAGACCATCAGCTCATCAAAACCTCATGCATTTAATGCCACTGCTGAGGACAACGGGACCCAGAGTTAACGGACAGGCAGCGAACATCCCTGAGGCAGGATGGGATGGAGAGGCTGCCAAACCTGGCACATAGTGTCAGTCTAAGGGGACGATGGGACTCAGCAGCTGATGTTCCTTGTCCTCTGTGTCACAGCTTGGACACAGTCTGACGGCAGCAGCGTAAATCACTCTTACACCCCATCCCAAAGAGTAAACCTTCCCAGATGCGATCCTGCCCTCCAATCTCTGTCTCTGACCCACAAATCCCTTGGGGAGACTCGGGGTTCAACCTCCCCACCAGGCCAAACTTCTCCATTGCTCCCCCAAAACAAGAGCATCCCTAGGGGACACCCCAGAGCCCCCACAAACTGCAGAGCCAGCAAAAGCCCCCCCAGAGCAGGCGGAGGGAGAGAAGCAAGGAAAATGAAATCCCTGCGGAAAGGGAAGATGGGACCGGCTCTGCACTAATCTTGCAGTGTAGCAGCCACTGAGAAAGTCCCATTGATCTGGGGATGCAGGATACAGTTGGGTTTCTTTCTGCTAAATATCTAGCAAGTGAAAGGGAGCAGAGAAAGA